GTGCATTCGTATGAGGATTCTCTGTCTGATCGAATACAGTGACATGTGCACTCAACTGCTGTATCAATGATTGAAATTTTTCAGAGTTCATATTGCTGAAGTTGAGATTCATAGCTGGAGTAGCTGGAGGTGGAACATAGGGACATGAACCAGTCATCATATTCGCCACAACCTGTGGTCTTGGAGTTTCAAATCGTCCTCGAGGTGGAACAGGATTGGGAAACTGTCCTCTTGGTTGGAACTGTGTCGAAGTTGCAGGCCTCTGACTTTGATTGTAAGCCGAAGAACCGCTCTTGTATCCAGGAATATATCCAGGCGGATATCCATGAATTTTAAAACATCGTTGAACAACATGACCAGTTTGGCCACAATGAGTACACACTGGCCTTGTCTTTGGCCGATAGCTATTCTGCATAGCGTATGCTGCATAGTCCATAGTTTCAGTTGATTCCTGAGGAGCTTGTGCAGGACCAGTACTCTGAAAAACGACATTCTCAGGTCGTGATGGCTTCAGCGTTTTCTGTCTCTCATCTTGAGCAACCATGTTATAAGCATCTTCAATAGATGGAATTGGTTTAAGAACCAGAATATGTCTGCGAATGGATTCATAGCATTCGTTTAACCCCATCAAGAACTTAGTAACTCTGCTACGCTGCTCCATTTCTTCCCACAATTTGGCCGCATTACATTCGCATTTACCACATGTGCAAACAGGTAGCTCAACGTAATTTCGATATTCTTCCCATAAGGTCACTAATTCAGTGTAATAAGAACTAACATCCATAGATCCTTGTTGGATATTGCTAAGCCTTTGTTCTATCTCAAATATCCTAGGAGCATCATCCTGTTTGAATCGAGATAAGATATTTTTCCAGATACCTGAAGCAGTCGAGAAGAACAATAAGCTTTGACTAATCTTCTTGGATACTGAATTCATGAGCCATGTGGCTACCATGTCGTTGCATCGGGACCAATATCCAGAATCACGATGACCTTCATTAGGTTTAGGGATCGTTCCGTCGACAAACCCCAGCTTATTGCGAACATTGAGCGCCATCCGAATTGAACGCTTCCAAGAATGAAAATCCGCACCAGTCGTGAGTCGATCGGACACCAGAATAAGTCCAGCATGATCAGAACTGTGAAGAAAATATGGATTCTCATAATGATCCTATTGATGCGAAGAATCACCGAACTGATGTTGGGATTGGGATTCGAAGTCATCACGATGTGTGAGATATCAAGAAATTGATCGAATCTATGTGAAACGAACAAATTGAGAATGTAAGTGCTGGAAAGAAAAGATCAGCAACAAACGAGATCAAACAAGGAGAGAAAGAAAAGATGCAACGATCGATGTAATCGCTGATTGAAGAATCACAAACACGAGAATGATGAGATTCGTAAGGAAAGTAGAACACAATTCGTGCCGAGAAACGCTCATAGTAAGGAATCGAAGCTCAAACTAAGATCAAATCCATCTTGAAACAAGAAATTTCGAAGAATTTCAACGAAGAAGATGACAGATTATGTTACACGGAAGAGAGAGAGTGTGTGAGCTCTGATACCATATTAACTAGAGAGAGAAGTGGAATTAATTTCTCATTAATTCTCTGTAAAAGTGTTGTTTACAATTATATACAAGTGGTTAAGTAAAAGGAAGCTTAAACCACATTAAACCGAAGTAATACATATGTGATCTATCTAGTTAATACTATATGAATTTCAAAATTACATAATGGTCTTTCCAATAACCAACTGAACATCTTGTCGTACTTAACAATAAATAGATAACTTCTTACAATCCGACGAGTCAAATTATTCTTGTAATTAATATATATACTATTATATAAACCATTATTGTTGTTATTTCCGAAGGGCAATATTGAAAAAAAAATGCTGGAAGTTGTTTTTATGCACTTATATCGCCTCATCATTTTGTTTCTTTTTGAAAATTAAATGTCATCTGATTTATGTGTCAAATTTTGTTCTACCTAATCGACGACATTTTTGAAAGATCATGAGTGAGAGCATGACAAGCTTTTAAAATAAATTAAGGAGTTTTTAGCCAAATGTTATCTGCGAAAAAAAGATAAGTCTGAGTGTTGTTCTAGCCATGCTAAACTTTAAACAAGATCAATTTTAGCAAATGTATGTTACGATTTGTGTCCTTAGCAAAACCACAGCCCATTAACGGTTTCTTATTATATTCCTCATGAAATTTTGGATGAATTTAAAAGTATATCCCGAGCTGTGAAAGTAACGAATTTGCAACATCATTAACCTACGGTAAGTTGCTAAAAAGTGAAAATAATACATATATATATATACATGTATAAGGTCCAATATTAATAATTAGGGTTTTTGAGGATAAATCAAATCTATCGACCTCAGACAAAGTCGAACATTAAGAAAGGTTTGAAAATGATAGTGATAGAAGCTGCCATTGCTAAATTTCAAAAATCAAAAAGTATCCCACATTCCCACTTGGTGGAGAAAAGGATATGTAACAGAGTCCTTCTGGGTCAGATCCCATAAGTGAAGACAGATGCGTCATTACACAACAACAGTCGAAATCGAATTACATAATGGGACCACTCTTACTAAAACACAATGCAAATATTGATTTTAATCGTATAATATATAGTTTTTTTTGGTAGGGTTCGTGCGTGGGGGCAAAGCAAGATTTGTCTTGTTGCTTGAAACAGTGTCCCAATAGTAGAAGGGTTGTTTTGTAGGAAAGTCAGTGTTTAGAGTATTGTCGATAGCAAATCAAGATAAAAGTTTCGTCACTGTACTGCAGGTTTTGCGATGGTCCTAACAATCCCGCCATATTCGCGTTTCAATAACTTTTGAATAGATATTTGGCATTCCTCGTGTTATGTTATCCAAACAGAAACAAATTATTGAAAGAATAGAGGACATCATCATTATTATTTATTTTGTTTCCTCGCAAGTATTAATTGATGCATATTTCATATTTGGAACCATATACTTCATTTCCCGTCAGGAATTTTTTTATATATATATAAGGAAACCAATCATATATCTATATATCTGATATTAGCCCTGGAATTATTATTCGGTATCCATTCTCTAATCCGGTATCCGATTCTATCCGATCCGTAAAAATTGAATATTTATATAGTTCGGATCCGATCTGGATAGTAAATTAAGTTTTCGGTTATTTCGGATACGTATTCGGATAATAGAAAATTTGTAAAACCATATATCCGTTATCCATTATCCGTTTGTTAAGTATTTATTTATTTTTGATATCCATTTATTTTTTCATTTTACTTATATAACAATTTTTTTGGTATAACTCATTTTACATATGATTGAAATTTATATTGCATAATAATTTTCTATTTCAGATTGTAAGAGAAGAACATAAAAATTGATAGTCCATGGACATGAAGATAAATTAACTTCTCTATTACTATTTTCTCTTTTGCTATGTAAATTTTTAAACTTTGGACTATTTGAATGTTACTAAAATGCTTTTTAATTTTTGCTATTTGTAATTTTTGTTATGATGCTACATTTTAATTATTTATCTCATTATAATTTTTAAAAATTAAAGATTTTTTTTAAATCAACGAAACCGGATATTCGAGCGGATATCCGTAAATATTCGGTTCAAACCGGATATCCGGAGTTTTCGGATCCGGATCCAGATAGTAAAATTGATTATCCGGCGTATCCGAATCCGGATCTTAATACCTTGAAAAGTCTGGATATCGGGCTCCGTTTGAGGCCTATTTGATATATCTAAAGCTTATTTAAAACGGTAAATAATGGTATAAGACCCAACTAGATCGACAAATCGGACCGGTAAATCCGTGATCCAGTCTTTAAGTCCATTGCTGAACTCGTAACTTAAATAATTGACTAACCCCGGAAAATCCTGCCAAAACCGGTGGACTGGGTAGAACCGATGATTTGGTCGGGTAACTTAGATGATCAATTCAATTCAAGAGAACACCTTAATTGATTTTGATTGTTTGATTTTGAAACATTTTGTTTGGTTTAACTTGGAACATGAAATGTGGTAACCCGGTGAATCTCATGATTCTGATTTGAGTTCATTCGAAACTCATGGTGTTTATTGAACTGTTGAATCAATTACTCTAGAACTGACCGGATCAGCTGATAATGGTTGTGTGATTTTGCCTCTAAACTGATCCCAAAGTTTATTGTAATTTGTAGAAAACTAGAAGAAGTTCAAAACCAAAGTAAAATATTATATATATATATATATATATCGTTCCATAATGCAGTTTAAACAAGTTAAACCAAAGTAAACTACATTATGGAACGATATACAATAAACTTCTTCTAGTTATGGTGAGCGACATCAACGTGAAAAAAAAACTGCATTA